GTCTCCGGATCATCTGGGTCAGGCCGTTAGCACGATAACCAAACCATACACCAACTCAGAAGTCCTTGCCGAAGACACAATTGACGATAAAACAAGTGCTCTCAATATTGAAGCAAGCCTCAAATTGAGTTTCCTTGGGGGCTTAGTTAATGTACAAGGAGCAGCGAAATACTTAGATGACAGAAAGACATCGAGTCACCATTCTCGCGTTGTTCTGCACTATGAGACAACAACTGAGTTGAAACAGCTGACCATGGAACATTTGGGACGAGGAAAGGTGCAGTATCCAGAGGTGTTTGATCAAGATATTGCCACTGACGTAGTGGTTGGAATCCTGTATGGAGCCAAAGCATTTTTGATCTTTGACCAGGAAGTTTCCAAAGATGAATATGAGAAAGAGGTGCATGGAAATATGAAAGTACTGGTGAACGCCTTGCCTGGTATCTCTATAGACGGAGGAGGCTCTGTCGACATAACTGAAGACCAGAAGAAGAAAACAGAGAAAATGCATTGCAAGATGTATGGAGATTTCAGAACAGAAGAAAGTCCAACTACTTTCGAAGAAGCAGTGAGAGTTTACAAACAGCTACCATCATTGATTGGGGACAAGGGTCAAAACGCAGTTCCTGTCCAAGTATATTTACACCCGCTCAGTGAAATCGATAGCAAGGGGCAACAAATGGTTAGAGAAATCAGTGCCAGTTATATAAACAAGACGTGTGAGATTCTAGAGCACATACAGCGTATCGAGTCTAAGTGCAGCGATTTATTGAGAGAGAATGTTTGTTTGTCGTTCTCTCGAGTCAAGAAGCAATTATCAAGTTTCAAAAGCAGTATCTCATGCTACAAGTTCTTTTTCCAGAAGAAGTTGTTGCCTTTGCTTCCCAGCATCAGAGGAGGCGGAGCAGAAGAATCAGCACTTGGCGATATCTTTGAAGAAAAAGAGCGTTCCCCCTTCGCACAAACTCGCATTGATGCATGGATCGAGGAAAAAGAGAATGAGATGAAGAGATTGCAAAGTATGATCGATGACTTGGGAGACACTCCTTTCGTTAACCCTGAAGATGTAAAAAATGAAGCGTTCAAACCAAGCAATGACCATGTTGTTTGTTGTACATTTAAGATTGGAAAGGAGGACGATCCCCAGATTTTGAGTATGGATGGGTACCTCACAGGAAAAGTTCTGCCAGAGTTGAAGAAAAAGGCATCATCAAGCACTGATGACAAGAATGTAAGAAAAAGAATCCGCCAGACACTGAAACAGTTCTTAGAACTGAAATCTGCAAATGAAGACAACAAAGAAGTGAAGTTTTTCGCCACAGAGGAGTGTCTGTCTGACAATTTCAGTGAAAACCCGGGAGCCTTCATCTATCTGTACGAGGAGGGCGAACTAGAAAATAAAGATTTTAAGTTATCACCAAAGCCAGAAAACCTAGAAGCAGAGAGCGTGCGAGACGATTCAATCGAGCTTTGGTGGAATGATCCACACTGGAGCGAGAACAAAATTAAAAAGTACAAAGTTCAGTGCAAAAAAAATGAAGCCAACTCCGACTGGATCACTCAGTGCACACCGTGTGGAAATGAAGCTAAGAAAACTGCTACCATATCTGATCTTCAACCAGCTACCAGCTATCTGGTGCGAGTATGCGCTGTGGGGCAGATTGCGGTTAGCCAATACAGTGATACTTTGTATGCAACTACCAAACCAACAAGTCCGCCTGGTAAGCCAACCTTCGCAGCTGCAACGAATGACACCATAACCATTGCATTCACCAAACCCAAAA